CTAATCCGCGCAGATTGGTGTCTTAATGGTAGAGAAATGCTACAGGTGCTGCAGGACCTTTTAGGTCTAAGATTAGCCAGGGTAAGGGGAAATTACATAGGGACAAGAGAAGATGGAACGCCGATAGAAGCGGGCCATGCTGATCTGACCGCCGCACTAAATGAGGTTTACGAAAGAATTAGGGTGACTTTAGCCCCCAGACCAGATTATGGAAAAATAGGAGAGACAAAACAAAAAGATAATGAGTCTGCTTCAGACTTTTTAGACAGGCTGAGACCAATCTTTAGACAAAATTCAGGACTGGAATACGATCCAGCCCCTAACTCCCCTTATGAACAGCAGCTAAAGAATGCATTTTTAAAGGGCCTCCTCCCAAAGGTCCGCGCTCACATAGACAAACACTGGGTCACCCAAAACACTGGGAATTTAGCCGATGCTTTGCAATACGCGGAACATGCAGTAAAAGTTCAAAAGAACAAAACAGCCCAAACTGGAGTTTTTGTAGTAAATACTGAAGGTGGAATTGTTGCATACACAGGAAGAAATCCACAAAAAGGGAAAGGCAGGAAACAGAACAGAGATGACAAAGAAAAACACAGGAGGTGTTATAACTGTGATAAAGAAGGGCATCTTGCCAGAGATTGCAGGAGCAGACAGAGGGAGGACCGCAGGGATAGGCGGGACAACAGGGACAGAGGCAGGGACAGATATGACCGCCCTGCTAGACGAGAAAGGCAGGACAGAGACGACAGGGACAGTACTGAGGAAATGTGACTAGGCCCCCACCCAGATACCTCAAACGAACAGCAAGAGTGTGGGGCTGAAATTTTTAACATTCATCAGTTACTTTTGGGTTCTGAATACAAACCAGAGGTAACTATTTACATAAATGGCAAACCTTACACAATGTTATGTGATACTGGCGCATGTATGACAGTTCTGACAGAAGAACCCCCGAGAACACACTTCTCAAAGGATGCCCGTGTGGTCACATCAGCCTCAGGGCACACCACCACCCAAATGTTAACACAAAAATTAGACTTTCTACATGCAAACAGCGACCGAAAGTGCAAACTACAATGCATTATTGACTCTAGCTGCCCGGTAAACCTATTAGGCCGTGACGGACTGATGAAGCTAAGAATAGGAGTAGTTCCTGAAAGCAATGGCATGAGAGCAGAATTAATGCTCTCAGAATCACACACGCTCGTGTGTCACGGGGATGGTGAACCACACTATTATTGGACGCTGGCTTTGCCATCCTCTAAACAGCTAATTACAATAACTGAGAGATATTTACCGCGAACATCAGAAGTAATGCCGCACAATGAACTACATCATACTCTGCGTTTTAAACAAACACCAGGCCCTGACCCAGAGTATGACACTCAGGTCCACCGTCTAGGACTACAGAAACTAACCTTGCAACACCTTTATGTTACAAAAAGCGGAAATGCTGTGTGCTCGGTAATCCAACCCCCCAGAGTAAGAGATTTAAATAGGATGCCTGCCCCACATGTTTCCACAGCAAAAAACTCCCAAACACAATGGAAAGATCTAGGGATCGTTCTAAAACGAGTGCAGGATGATTATTATGAAAAGACAGAAGACACACATGAGGGCTGGCTTCAAGGCCGCAGGACAGGCTGTATGAAATACACTCTGGGGTGGGTTTTAAATGTAAAGCCCAGCACCCACCTAACTGACTCTCCAGCCTCATGCCTGTAACTGAGAGGGCAGAATGATCGCTGTTGGCACCTGTAAATGAAACAGACATTGTAAACTTGCCAAAATCCCTATGGTCCACTGGACCAACAGATGTCGGCCTGATAAAAAACGCTGACTCAATACAAGTAAAGGTAATCTCAAAACACAGACCAATGAAGCCGCAATATCCACTATCTGCAGAAGCAAAAAACGGAATCCGCCCAGTTATAGCAGATATGGAAAAAGCAGGGATTCTCATAAAAACAAATAAAACAACGTGTAACACACCTATATTTCCAGTAAAAAAAGCAAACACAGGGAAATATAGACTTGTTCACGACTTAAGAGCAATTAATGACATTACAGAACAAATACCTCCTGTTGTGGCGAATCCACATACAATATTGAACCAAGTGTCACCCAGAGAAAAATGGTTCTCAGTCATAGATCTTTCTAATGCATTCTTTTCCGTGCCCCTGCACCCAGAGTCACAAGGGCTATTTGGCTTCACGTTTGATAACCAGAAATACACATACACACGCTTACCACAAGGTTTTCAAAATAGTCCAACACTATATGCGGAAGCTCTTAAGCACTCAATGTCTACTTGCACTCTGCCTGCTCCAGGAAAGTTCCTACTATACGTAGATGAATTCTGGTGACCGGAAACACGCAGGCAGACTGCAAGGCAAACACCCTCACCGTGCTATATCACCTAGCACAGCAGGGTCACAAAGTGTCACAACACAAGTTACAACTGTGGCAGTCAAAGGTCATATATCTAGGTCATGAACTGACAGGACAAGGCCGCAAACTGTTAGACAGCCGAAAAACAGCAGTACAAGAAGCCCCAAAACCACTAACAAAGCAGCAAATGATGAGTTTCCTCGGTCTCTGTAACTTTTGCAGAAGCTGGATTCCAGAATATGCTCTCAGAGTCCAACCCCTACAAGACTTAATATATGGGAAAAATCTAGCTTTAAGAGACAAACTGACATGGACACCTGATGCTGAAAAATCATTTCATGATCTGAAATCAGCATTACAAACCAGCACTGTCCTAGCATTGCCAGACTATGACAAACCATTTTATTTACATGTGGATGGCAGCTCTGGATATATGAAAGCTGTACTGACACAAGCCTTTGGGGATAAACAACGACCATTGGCATTTTATTCCTGCAAACTTGACTGTGTAGCCTCTGGTCTCCCCACCTGCGTACAGGCTTGTGCAGCAGCAGCAGAAGCAGTAAAAAAGTCAGCAGATATTATTTTGGGACATCCTTTAATAGTCAAAGTACCACATGCAGTCACCTCAATCCTGTTGCAAGCAAACTTATCATATCTGACACATGTAAGACAATTATCATACGTAGGTATTTTGCTATCACAATCGCACATCACCATAGAGAAGTGTGGCCAACTTAACCCAAGCACATTGCTTCCTGCAGAAATAGATGGTGACTCACATAGCTGCCTTCACAAGCTAGATGAGGAAACGAAACCACGTGCCGATATATATAGCACACCACAACCATCCTTTTTAGATATTTTTGTAGATGGGTCCGCAAGTAAAGACAACACTGGCCGAAACTGTGTAGGTTATGCTGTGACAACAATAGATACAGTCATTGAAGCACAGCCATTAACCTCCTCATACTCAGCACAAAGTGCCGAGCTAATAGCGGTAATCAGAGCCTGTGAATTACACAAAGATAAGGATGTAAACATCCACACAGACAGCCAGTATGTCTTTGCCGCAGTACACCATTTTGCTAAAATCTGGCAGAACAGAGGAATGGTAACATCCACAGGGACCCCAGTACAACATGGTGAACTTTTGAAAAAGCTTTTAGAAGTAATTATGTTGCCAAAACACCTAGCTCTATGCAAATGCGCTGCACATCAGAAAGATAATTCAGCCATTACTAGAGGGAACAATTTTGCAGATGAAACCGCAAAGGAAGCAGCAGGCAGAAAAACAGAAGTTCTCGCATTAACTTCCTCTCCTTTAATACCCATAACAGTACTGATAGACGAACAAAAGGCCGCATCACAAAATGAAAAAACCTCGTGGTTAAAGGAAGGAGCAACATTAAAGGATGATATCATGACATGTCATGGCAAACCGATTTTGCCGAAGTCCCTGCATAAAACTGCAGCGTTAGTGACACACGGTAATACCCACGTGTCAACAGCAGGGATGGTAGATATACTCTCTAAACAATTCTACACAAAAAATTTTGAAACTTCAGCAAAAGAGTATGTTAGAACATGCATGATATGTCAAAAACACAATGCCCAAGGGAATCTAAGGCCCAAAAGAGGTCATTTCCCCACTCCACCTCACCCTTTTCATACCATACACATGGATTTTATCCAACTACACAAGCACCAACAACTAGAGTACGCACTAGTAATAATAGATGTATTTTCAAAATGGCCTGAGATCTATTCAGTGAAAAAGGCTGACGCAATAACAGTAGCAAAATGTCTGTGCAATCACTATATTCCAACATACGGAATACCGAGCCTAATAAGATCTGACAATGGCACACACTTTGTGAATGAAGTAATATCAAAAGTCTCTGAAGCTTTAGGTTTCAGCATAAAACACCATTGTTCCTACCACCCACAGAGCGCAGGATTGGTAGAAAGAACAAATGGCACGATCAAACAAAGGCTAAGAAAATGTATGGAGGAAACTGGCCGCCCATGGCCTGAGTGCATAGGTTTAGTTAAAATGTGGATGAGATTAACACAGGGCTCAAACAAACTAACACCTTTTGAGATAGTACATGGGCGACCCTTCCCCCTCCCTGTTACCAGTGAGCCAATAGATAAATCAATAAGAGAAACAACATTAGCAGAATGGATGGCAAAGCTGCTAGAGAATAAAGAAATAATAACGAACAATCAACTGCCGAGTGATTCTCTTCCAGTCTCTTCCAGGTTGAAACCAGGCGACTGGATCCTGATCAAAGTACTCCAAAGAAAAAACTGGAGCACTCCCAGGTGGGAAGGCCCCTACCAGGTCCTGATCACCACGCCCACGGCATGCAAAATTGCTGAACGACCTTCGTGGATTCATCAAAGTCACACCAAAAGGGTAGAGCCTATCTAAAGCATAGACCCTAGTCTCCTCCAGACCTCTTTGTGTTCGCCCGGTGGGGGGTAGGGTGATCAGGTGGCAACACTCGTGAACCCACCTCTCTGGCCGGGGTCTACTCACTGGGGGTCTTGAGAGAGAGACACAAGGTCAAGAAGAAGAGACGCTCACCCAAGGGAAAATCATCCAATCAAGATGACCAACATGCTATTACCAACTCTTCTGAGCCTGCTGGTTGTCTCCCAGACACACGGGTTCAACCCTTGTAATGACACAGACGGACAGGCAAAGAAAACAGACGACCTTTACCTGTGTTACAACAAGACAAGCTTCACCTCTACCGTATGGATACCTTTTAACTCATTCTACATAGGAGGATACAAAGCCGAAGCCTGGAAAGGCTACGACTGGTACCTATCCAGTTCAGACGGAAACAACCCAGGATGGGACACCGTTTTCACTTATACTGGAAATGATTGGATGCCATATCAAAGCAGTCAACTGCAAGAATCAGCAAAAAACCTTTCAAAGCAAATGAACTTGACGAAGACAGCCGAACACCTGATCCTCAACTTCCACACGCTGAACAACCCATTGCTGGAGAAGCCACCAAAATCACAGAAAAGAACCCACCTGGTTCCAACGCTGGCAAGTAACTCTAACTGCTACCATCTGACCCTATTTATCTACAAGACCGGAAAAGATCCACATCACTTCGTGTCAATATGCAATAACATAACGAAAGGCATGGTCCCATCATCCACAGAGGCGCCACAGGAAGAAGACGAACCAAACGGAAGCCCGGCTTTATCTGCAGGCCCACTCTCAAAAACGATGAATACTGCCATAATAGTGGGACCAAAACTAAAGCCAGACGACTGGTTCCGAGTCACCACAGGGATCACAGGACACTCAAATAACTGGTTACTATTGGCAGAACAAGCAGCTCAAGATGCTAGTGATGACTGCATGGTCTGCCTAGGACCAAGACCAATACTGAGAGTGGTACCTGCACCTATGGAAGAAAACTGCCTGACAGCTGTAATGAACCATACCAACATTCAAGACAAGAACTGCACAAAATGGGACAGAATCTTTCCCATCACCAACGAAGAAAAAAGAAAACCCATATTCTCACAAGATGTGATGGTAGCAAACCACACCTGCATAAATATGATAGGCCCAGGAGAAAGGCTGGGAAGCCTCAACGCAACTAGCTGCCTAACCATTACAAAGGTGGACTCCTCATTCAAGCCACGAAGCAGAGCTGATGTCTGGTGGTGGTGTGGAGACCCAAACCTGTATGATCGTTTGCCTAACAACTGGATCGGCATGTGTGGATTGGTATCACTGTTGTTACCCATTCAGGTTGTAAAACTCAAAGCCACGGATATAACTATAACAGCAGGACGACTGAAGATAAACCCACGACAAAAGAGATCAGCACCAGAACAACCTGGACCAGACCCAACGTACATCGATGCCATAGGCATTCCCAGAGGAGTACCAGACGAATATAAACTAGTGGACCAAGTGGCTGCCGGTTTCGAATCGTCGGTGTGCTGGTGGTGTACAATCAACAAGAATGTGGACCGAATTAACTATATCCACTATAACGTCCAGAGACTAGGAAACCTGACACAATCAGGCTTCCATTCAGTGGCCGAGCAACTAAGAGCCACCTCACTGATGTCTTTCCAGAACAGAATTGCATTGGACATGCTACTGAGCGAGAAGAATGGGGTGTGTTCGATGTTCGGAGAGCAATGTTGTACCTTCATCCCTAACAACACCGCAGCTGATGGAAGTCTGACCAGAGCCCTAGAAGGCCTGAAGACTCTGAACGAGAAAATGAAGGAGCATTCTGGAGTTGACACTTCTACGTGGGACAACTGGATGGACATGTTTGGGAAATATCGGAGTTTGGTGTCATCAATCCTGGTATCTGTAGCAGTATTCGCAGCCATACTCACCTTGTGCGGATGCTGTTGCATACCTTGTATCAGAGCACTGATAAACAGACTTATCGCAACAGCCATAACTCCCCATGTCACATCCCCACCAGAGACTATGATGCTCCTTGAAAACAATGAAAGTGACACAGACTCTGAGGAAGAAGAGGACGACATATAAATAAGGAAAAAGAATTTATAATGTTGAACATTTAACTTTGCTAAATGACACTCTAGTTGAAAATGTACCCGCAAGTGACTAGAAGTTGATAAGATGCAAAATATTTGAACAACAGCAGGGAATGATAGAAGTAACTTTTAAGTTTAAACTGCAGATGTCTATTATTAAAAGATACCTCCGTTATAAAGCTTTCAAATGTATTAAAATGTTCATATATTTTTGTATCACATGCCATTACATCCTGACACACACACACACATACACATGCTAATAAGTAAGCTTGAAAAACAGGAAATGCTATGCAACTGTCTCTTGGTATAAATAAATCTGACTGCAATGCCTCGGGTGTGAGTATCACTCGATCACTCACCCGTGCACGTAGCTCTATAAAACTCCTTTTGACTGTCTTGTATTCCTTCATCGTATTTAAAAATGTCACACACCACTGACAGGAATTCGTACAGGTAACATCATGGAAACATAATTGAACTGTGGGACCACCATCATTTTAATCACATTAATTTTACCCCATAGTGTAAGATTCAATTTACCCCATTTATCCAGATTTGTTTTTATCTTTAGGAGGAGAGGTTCCACATTTGAAAGCATAATATCCTCCAAGTCGGGTTTTAATAATATTCCTAAATACTTCATACCTGAAGGTGAGTACTTAAAATTGAATGGAGTAACGCATCCAGAATGACATGATGCTGACAATGGCATGCCCTCCGACTTGTCCCAGTTTATCTTATAACCTGACAACCCTGAAAATGACTCAACACACGTGAGTAGTGCTGGTAGAGACTGCATGGGATCCGTCAATACTGCTAAGATGTCATCAGCATATAGAAACAACTTGTGTTCCATACCCCCTGCATGAACACCTCTGACACCCCTGTTTGCTCGGATAGCCAAGGCCAGCGGTTCCAGAAATATTGTAAAAAGCAACGGGGACAAAGGGCACCCCTGTCGGGTCCCGCGAGTAAGATGAAAAAACCCTGACACCAACCCATTTGTCAAAACCGCTGCCCTTGGACTTGCATATACAGTTTTGACCCAATTACAAAACCCAGGCCCAAACCCGAACCTTGCGAGGGTCGTCATAAGGAAGCCCCATTCCACCCGATCAAAGGCCTTCTCAGCATCCAGCGAGAAGGCCGCAACTGGGGTTAGGTTAGATTCGCTTTTGTGCATGAGATGAAGAAGTCTTCTAATGTTATCACCGGAGGACCTATTTTAATAAAGCCAACCTGGTCACCATTGATGATATCTGGTAATATATGATCCAGGCGGGAGGCCAAAACCTTCGTCAAAATTTTGCAATCAACGCCCAAAAGGCTTACAGGCCGGTAATTTGCTGGGTCCGACAGATCCCTATCCTTTTTAGGAATAAGGGAGATCAGTGCTTCATTAAACGTACTCGGCAAGGAACCTATCTCCAATGCCTCAAGGTAAACTTTATGCAGGACTGGGGCTAAAATATCGATATATTTCTTATAATACTCAATCGGGAAGCCATCCAAGCCTGGCGATTTCCCATTCTTCATTAATAAGATCGCAGCCCTGACCTCTTCTTCCGTTATAGGCTCATCCAGTCTCGTTTTCTGTTCCCCAGAGAGAGTAGGTAATTGTAGACCTGAAAAAAATGTCTCCACCTCCCCTTCATCAAGCGCACCAGCAGACGTATACAAATCTTGATAAAATGATTGGAAAATTGAATTTATTTCCTTCGATGAGGTTATCACTTGGCCGTCCTTCTTAATCATAGATATATTATTCAAATTATCTTGCTGCTTCAGTTGTCTTGCCAATAGTCTTCCACTCTTTTCGCCACCTTCATAAAATTTTGTTTTGAGCCTAAATAAGGCATATTCTGCCTTTTTGTTATAAATGTCATTCAACTGGTACTTTAATTTACATATAGTCTGATATTTATAATTTGAATATTGACTCGCTAAGTCCTTCTCCAACTCCCGTATTTCTTTATCCAAGGTTTCTACCCGTTCTAGATCACTTTTCTTAACTTTTGATGCGTATGCAATCAGCTTTCCTCTTACATATGCTTTAGATGCTTCCCAGACTGTGGCTACTTTGTCTGTGGAACCCATATTGATTTCGAAAAAAATTTTGAGATCCTTTGTTAACTCCTCACTAAAACTTTGTTCTGCAACAACATCGTGTTAAGCCTCCAGCGACCCCTCTTCGTTCTATCTGTGTTCAAGTCAATTTGCAACTCTACTGTGGCATGATCACTAATGGCAATGGCACCAATCTCACAGTCTACGACTGAATCGACCAGAGACTTTGATATTAAGGCGAAATCTATCCTCGAATATGTTTTATGACAGTTGGAGTAAAATGTGTATTCCCTTGAACTGGGATTAACTAACCTCCAAATGTCCGTTAAGCAAAGATCCTCTGTCAGTAAATGAACAGCCTCTCTGTCCCTGGGTGTAGACGTACCCCTGGGGTTACTCTTATCATTATCCCATCCATCACCTGGTTGAAATCCCCAGCCAATATCACCTGCCCCACATGATCCCCTATTATCTTGTTAATTTTGTGAAAAAAATCTGGCTCCTCCTTATTAGGTGCATAAATATTGCACAAAACTGTTCGAACCCCATCAATTAAGGCCTCCAAGCATATAATGCGTCCTTCGTCATCATTATACTTCTTCAGCAACACGAAGCTTAATTTCTTATTAACAAGGATCAACACACCATTCCGTTTACTCGAATATGAACTATGAAAAACGGAGCCCACCCAGTCTCGTTTAAACTTTTTTGCCTCTTCTTCCCCGCAATGTGGGATTCCTGAATAAACGCTATATCTGCATTTTTAGATTTTAAGTATGTTAGAACCTTCCTCCTCTTGATTGGGTCCCACATCCGTTTATGTTCCACGATATTATTTTAGTATACCTGTTCATCACTTTCTAACAGAAATGGGGTAAAGCACACCTTGTGCGCTTTAAAACACAACACAAATACATGCATAGGCACTCAATATTACAAAACCCATCTGGTCTTATCAAACTAGCCGTCATTAAAAAAACAAAAACAAAAAAACAAACAAACCTGAACAAAACCAACACCCTTCTTTGCATAGCAACTCAGAACAACGTTGCTAAGCGCCCCCTCCCTCCCCTCCTACCCAAGCCTAACTAAATTTAGCTTGAAACCCCAAACTGCTCGTGGTCCGTGAGACACGCTAATCATCCGACAGCAGCACCACCACCGCAGCCCCATTGAGCCCATTGTTTGTTTGTTACCTTATTTTAAAATTCACATACACTACTCCGATCTGTTACATCATGTCCCGCATTCCTCTAAGTCGACTCCTGCAGAAATTTCTCGGCCTCTTTTCCGTCTTTGAATGCTTTCTTTTGTCCGTTCCACGTGAAAACGAGCGTTGCAGGATACATCAGCCTATGCTTTACTTGTAGCTCTCGGAGACGCCTCTTCACCGGGTTGAATGCCTTCCTCTTCTCCGCCAGCTCCCTTGTAACATCTTCAAAAAAGGAAAGCTTGGCACCTTGCCAATCGACTCCACGCCTCTCTCTGGCCACCCGAAGCACTTTCTCCCTAGCAGATGAACGTAGAAAGCGGACATGTATCACCCTGGGAGGCTCGTTAGGTTCCGGCATTGGTACAGGGGAACGATGCGCACGTTCAATTTCAAATTCACTTCCAGAAAGCTCAAATGCTTTGGCCAGTATCTCCGTCACATATTTGTCCACGTTCCCGGGTGTCTCCACACCTTCTTTGAGTCCAATGATCCGTACATTATTCCTCCTGCTACGGTTTTCAAGGTCCTCCACTCGCGACCACAACGCCTCCATCCTCTTCTGGAATTTGTCCACTTTTGCCTCGGTAAGCACGCTGGCATCTTCCATGTCTGATATACGTTGTTCCGCCTCCCCTAACCTCACTTTTATATCTTCCACCGAATCTTTCAGTTCTTTAGTGGCCTCTTTAATAGTGGTGACATCTTTTGCTACGACCTGAAGAGTAGCGTTCATTTTCTTAATTTCTTCAAAAATGTCTTTTTTGCTCTCGCTCCCTATACCGTCCTCAACTACTGGAGAGGCGGCCTCAGATGCAGATGCACTTTCGGGTGGTTCCGGAGCGAGGCTAATGCTAGCTTGCTTCTTCCTCGTGGTAGCTCCCTTAAAAAAGTTTGCTTTGTTGTTACCGGCCATTTTCCAAAGACGGTAATTCTTGAAAAGCTTCGAAGTCCACAAAGGGTGTCCAATTTACGACTACAGCTGGAGTGTATGTTTCCAGAATCAGAACATTAATCAACAGACTTTAGGAGCGCCTCTAGTGTGCGGCCATCTTCCTCGGCGGTCCCACGTGACTCCGTATATGAACGACTTTGGTCTTTGCGATGCATGGCGCTCTCTTCACCCCACCAGTAAGGAATATACTTTTTCTCGCATGTTCATCACTCTTACTCTCGTCTGGATTATTTTTTGGTCAGCAGCTCACTGCTGAACGACATTTCAGACACTGAGATTCATCCTATAGCTGTCAGCGATCATGCTCCTGTATCTTTAAAACTAATGCACAGGAATAATACTACGCCAAGTAAAACTGGAGATTTAATATATCACTACTTAAAGATGAAGACTTTATTAAATACTTTAAAAAGGAATGGACTTCATATTTAGACTTTAATGACACTCCTGGAATATCTGCTTCTGTTCCATGGGAAGCAGGGAAAGCTGTGATGAGAGGTAAAATAATTTCTTTCTCATCACACAAAAAGAAAGAAGAAAACAAAAATATTCAGGAATTAGAAAAAAACATCAAATCACTAGAAGAAGCCTACGCGTCCCACCAAGATCAGGAAACATTGAACAAAATATGCAAAACAAAACTAGAATTAAATGAAACTATTAATAAAAAAACACAATTCCTTATACAAAGACTTCGCTTGCAGAATTTTGAACACAGTAACAAATCAGGTCGATTTCTAGCTAACCAGCTAAAAATAAATAAAGAAAAATAACTATATGTGCTGCTAAAGATTTATCGGGGAACACAATATATGATCCTGGAAGAATAAACAACATTTTAGGGATTTCTATGAAACTTTATACTCACCACAAATAAACCCATCTAAAAATGAAATTGATCTGTTTCTTGACAACGTAACTCTTCCAAATTACTAGACAGTCAAGCAATGGAACTGGATTCGCCACTGACGCCAAGTGAACTCCAGGAAGCCCTGATAAGTATGCC